TCTGCTAACATAGAAGCTAATTCTTCCTGCTTGGCAAGCGGAGCTCTTCGAGGAGGCAGTTTAATTGGAGCAACATCGCCAGTATTTATTCGATGCTGAACCACATCTGTCTTGCCGAAGTCGTCTTCAGAGAGTGCAAACACGTCCAAATTTCTTTCCAGAAGGTTGACCATTTGGTGCGCCTGAACTTCGGTTAGGTTCTTCGAAGACTTGTCCGCCAAATCCTTCAACGCTTGAGGGAGGTTCTTGGGAACAACCCTTTTGCAATGTAAATCTTCACAGGCAACAATCGTGCATGCCGGTTCACAGGTACCAAGTGTCTCGCCTTTCTTCAATAGTTGGCTATGCTCGGTTACATTCATCAAACGTACAGGCACAACGTGATATCTAGTTTTCGATAAAGTTCTTGCGAGCACAATACCTTTTCGGCATAATTTTGAATCAGGATCTCCTTCCATTATTACGACATTCTCGCTAAACTCGTCTTTACAAGTAGCCAAGGCAATCAGTTCAGTTTTTCCCGGAATTTCGTAATCTTCAAACAGTTCAATTTTTCTAGCTCCTTGGGCATATGCCGTTGGGCTCGAAAGAACAATTTCCTCATTTCCACATCTTAATACTCTCTGAGGGATGTCCAAGATAAAACGTTGATTTTCCATCAGGTTTAAGCCAAGTATAACATTATCCATAATATCCGAAGAACCAGGTGGGTAAAGGTAATACTGCCTAAGGTAAAAGTTGCCAAATGCGTACCTTTGATGGGTATATTTTCTCCATTTGCTGATTCCAAAACATAGTTCATTCCAGTACTTCGTCTTTCACTCCGATGACGGCAATTAAAAAGTACATTAGGTCTTACGATGGTGTGAGTTGAGCCAGTATCCAAAATCATCTCAGTTTCTCGGCCACATATTGTCCCTGGTACTATCAAGCTGGATCCAGTGTTCTTGGGTCGAGAAATCGTAACCTTGACAGTCGATGGTGGGGCTTGGTAGCACCTAGCCAGCTTTCGCCCCTGAAAGCTGACTATTTTGGAGTTTTCCTGCTGTCTTCCTGGAGAAGCGGTTTTTCGTTCAAAATTTCTGGTCTTAAAATTTCGGCAATATTTTTGAATATGGCCTTCTTCTCCGCAAGTCCAACAGGTTGGTTTCTCTCTTAATTTTTGGCGTCCCTCGAAGTCGCTTGGTTTTTGATGATTATCACTTGACTTTTGAAGACTCTGATTTCGAAGTTCCTATCGAATCATTTCTTTTATCAATTTTGCATGTCCTGGTTCTTCGCCGTCGTCATCACGTCTGGCGTGGCGTTCTTGGCAGCTTCATATTCCAAAGCACGAGCAAGTGTTTGCGCAAGGTCTTTAGCGTGGTTTACACCTAGGTGCGTTAGTATTTCCGAATCATAAATTCCATTGCTAACCTGACTAGACGTAGAATGTCCGCTCCAAATTCTTGCATGGTTTCACTGTTCTTTTGCCGTCTGCTTCTAAGCTGGGTTTTGTAGACTTCTTTTAAATGTGTGTCTCCATACCTCATTTGAAAAATTTCGAGCATGGCCTGATAGTTCTTACGGTCATCTTGTGGTATTGATCGTAAAATTTCCGTTGCTTCACCTCGTAGGGAAATAATAAGTGCTGTTGCCTTCTCCTGATCATTCCACCCGTTAACCACTGCAGCGGCTTCAAATTGGCATAAATATGTGGACCATGCGACTTTACCATCGAATGTTGGCGGCTTCAGTTTACTGCGGCTTAAAGATTGCGCCTCAATTTTTACAGTATCAGATCCAGCATTGTACCTGGTTGCTTCTTGTCTAATTTTGATTATTTCGTCTTCCACATGTGCGTGAAGTCGTCAGATATTTTCATCAACTTTGTCTTGAAACTTGATGTTTTCATCTCTAACATCGTTCTGAAACTTTGTATTGTCTTGTTTCAGAATCTTCTGGAACTTGACACTGTCTTCCTCGATGTTCTTTAGTTTGTCTTCAACGGTTGTCTTCAGGTCTTCAAATTTCTTAGCGTTGTCGTCTTTTTTATCTCTCATTTCGTTCATAACTTTATTGTTGTCTTGCATTTTGTCATTCAATCTGTTAATTTTTTCGTCCATTTTCCTACTGTTGTCTTCCATTTTGTCATTCATTCTGTCAATCTTTTCGTCCATTGTACTGTTGTCGCTCATTTCGTTCATCATTTTCCTACTGTTGCTCATTTCGTCCATCATTTTCCTACTGTTTTCGCTCATTTCGTCTTTCATCTGCATGATCAGTGCAATCAAATTGGGGTTCTCCATTGCAGGGTCTTCCTTCTTTGATTTACTTTTTGTTTCCATCAAAATTCAACTTGGATTCTGGTAAATCCCACTTCTGACACCAAATGTACCGTGGATGGCCGGGTATTAAATTCTTTCTTCTGCTTCCAACTTTTATTCCACTCGGTACAACTTTAGCTACGGAACAGGAACAAACTAACTTTAAAATTACCGTCAACTTCACAAACAATAACAATAACGGGCGGAGAACTCGCTTTTCCGACTCCCGGAGTTTAACCTCTTCTGCACTCGGTCGCTCCTGTCACCTTACTTTTTCTCCCCATGGTTCTCGTCGTCGCTTATATAGTTTCCTCCAGGTAACCCAGACGGTTCTCAAAATCTCCAGCCCAGGTGCGAAAACCCAGGGCCCAAATAGGGCTCCCATTTACTGAAATACCATGAATTTCGATCCCCCATTCCAAACGTGAGTACCCCGCGCCATTTCCGTTACAATATATATATTGTTACGTTTCCCGGGGTTCGAATGATTCCAGTAAACCAAAAAAATAACACAACAATGTATTGAACTTCCAAATACTAACTATAACAATCACTAACTCAAAACTATAGCTCGCGAATCGAACACACTCTGTATATCGCTTTAAATATTTCACTGTATAGCTGTCTGATTAACTCTGAATGAATCCTTGAACATTATTTAATTCAGACAAATTTTTTACAAATTTCTTACTGCTAACTTATCTACGAGTCTTAATTCTAACCTCTTTAGAGTGTTTTACACTCTGTGAAAGCTGACATCACTGACTTAACCTACCTTAATCTACCTTAACATACTGTGGGCACATTACCTATAAGTTTAGACCTAAATCTAATACATCTTCTCTTGTTACCTAAACTGACTTACAGCTAGTCCTAGTCTACAATGCTAATTGACTAACCTAATTAGTACAATTGCCCTCTACCTTATTCTACTTAAACTTAAGCCTACTACAACCT